CTGTTTGGCAAAGGGAGGCTGAGCAGCGTGTGTGTGTGTGTGTGAGAGAGTGGACGCCTCTGTCCGTCCACGGCTAATCTGGCATTGTGCTGCAGCAGACGGCATAATATTTAGGGCCGCACGCTCAAGGACCTCTTGTGGTTGCTGAGACTCACACTTTCTCAAAACAACATTTTCATTCTGCCGCTACTCTCGACCCGTTCATTCAGTCCGCCGACACAAGCGAGGCCGCTGCAGACCAGCCTGAAGGAGATCCGGGCCGAGTGCTGGTGTCCCACTGGAAGCCTTGAGTACTCAGCAATTTGCCAGGTGTCATCGGTGAGGTGTAAGCGGCTACAAGGGCTTGAAATTGCATGAATGGGAACATACGAGGGCCCTCGTGGTGTAACGGAGGACTGTAGATCCGTGAACCAAGGATTGATTGCAACAGTTTAACGTCAATCGTTTGAAATACAGTTTTACCAGCAATCGGAAATGCAGCTACGCTAACTGTTAACGGGCAAATGTAAATAATGTCCTGTGTTCATACATCAAAATGTACTGATGGTGAAAAACCTTTCACAGCAACCATGAAAAGACATGTGAAAGGAAACAATGAGCTGTTTACGATACCTCTAAACGGCTTATAACATCATTACTGACCAGATCAGGTTTTTAATCCTTACAAATCCAATCTTATATTTCTCCAATAACACTATTGATTGCTGTATACAAGTACAACATTTAGAGTGTTGTTCAGTTCAGAGTGGTTGGGATGATTCCTTTTTTTTTGGACGGATCTGGGAAGTTGGAGACAACAAAGGATCTGTATCTGCCAATATGGATCATCAATGGGAAAGTTGGAAACTTTCCATGGTAATATACAGGAATTAATGGGGATACATTTGGCATTTTTTGGGGCAATTTAACTGTATTTTTGTCATATGACAAAAGTATATTTTGTTTTGCATGGAAACAATTCTACTTTATTTTACTCCATTTGTCCGTAGAACTTTATTAGTAGAGCAGTGGAACTTTAACTTTATAGAACCGCAAACATGAACGTTGAATAAAATAGTGTATTCTCTAAACTCCACTGCTAAATGTAGATGAATCAAGCTTCTGGTTTTAATGTTGTTCCCTGAATCCTAAATCAGGTCTACGTCAACGTCGGCTTGAGAGAAAAGACAATCTGGTTTACAATAGATAAACAGCATGTGCTGCATTCGGTACATCTTTAAAATATAGTTCGGGATTATGTTTTTATTACTTAGCCTTTAATTTGCTGTAATCAATTTTTACTTTATATGTCGCCCAACTGTGGACACACACATCGTACTCTCACTGCAGTGAAAAGTTTACCTTCTGCATACAAATAAACTCTGTATTAAAATGAACATTGCTTCAGTTTACCAAGTAATCTACAGGTTTAGGTTTACGTTTCTGGCAGACAATGTTCCCAACAAGCTCGGGTTTCCCTTTCCATTCAACTGGGGGAGGAGGGGCCCCCCAGTTCTGCTGGAACTTCCGGAAATATTCCGCCCCTTTGCAGCTCTAATCATCAATGACTAGCAATAAGTGTGTGCGGCGAAGAAATGTGATCAGTGGTCTTCCAAATTGATATGGTGTCCCTCTTTTTCTTTTGTGCTCATCCAATCCGAACGGGGGGGGCGGGTTTCATGAGCCGCGGCGCCACTGGACATCTCTGTACGACGACGTATCGGCCAGCTTGATGATCGTGCATAATTGCGGGATAATTATTTTACAATTTAAGGCCTGATTTGAACGTCTTCCAGGCTCTCCTTCCAGGCGTCAAATATAAACAACAGAATAAATGTTCTGATAAATAACCGAGGTGTGTAATTTAGCCTGTGCTTTGCTTTCTTCTGCTTACATGTCAAAGTGTCGGTGTGTCCCGCTGCGCTGCAGGTGCAAGTGCCTACAGGTTATTGAGATGCCGTTTGAACCCACCGGGTACCAGCACAGGGATGCTGAAATGTGATTTAGTGATCAGCAGATCAGAGGTTGAGATTGAACCCACAAGTTGTTCTTTTCTTAAGCTGCTCCATTTTCTTCTAACACAGGGTTACACCAGGACACACACACACACACAGACTCACGTCAATGGAATTTCACCAAAGTTTGAGGCTAACTTGTTTTTCAATGTCTGACATTCCTCTGAATCTCTTAAAGTCAAGTCGCACTTTAGAGGCGTGGATACGGTGGAGGCTGCAGGTCAACAGGTTCTGCGTGTGCGTGTGCACGACCTAGAAAGTCGGTGAACGCAGTGAAAGCAGTGGGGGCTGCAGTGGCCCGAAGCTAAATCAGGACCAGGCCACTCCCTGCCCAGCTCTATTTACCCCAGCAGCCGCTTCCAACCAGTTTGAATGTATGTGAACAACTGCGTGGAGAATTCAGTGTGCCCCCCGCCCCCCACGCCCCCCTCGTTAACCTTTGAGATAACACTGATTTTTACTATTTTTTTCAACAAATGATTTGTCACTACATTGCGGGGTATTTATCCGCCAGCCTCTGGCTTCCCGCACGTGTTCTATCAAACAGCGCTCCCTCTTCCTGTAGATGTTTGCCAAGCCACAAGCTGGTTACGTAAGAGTGGTTTTTAATCTGCGCTCCTTCATATTCTTGTCGCTCTTTGAATGGCTTTGAGTCCTGGTTTACTTTTCCAAGAATGCAGTGTCTTTTTTTTTTTTTCTGTTTCTGTCACGCCAATCCGCAGGAGATCTGGTAATGACGGCCTGCAGCGCACAGGTGGAACAACGCGGCCTCCGGTGTGCGCCGTGGCCACACGCGCACGGTTGGACCGTAATGCCCGACAGCCTGCACTTCTCAGCAGGTGTGTGTGGTCCCGACCTGAACCCAACATAAGCCTGACCTCAGCCCCCCCCCCTCACCCCGCCGTTTCTCCGGTTTGGTGGGGGGTGCTAATGATCACTCTTGGAAACACAAACCGGTGACTGCGGTGTGGTACTTTTTTGTCCCTCTTCATTCCTTGAAGGCACCACCCTACACGAGGGCAGCGGAACAGTCCCCAATGTCTCGAACTAACAACTAAACATATCCTCTCTCCTGCAGAAAAACAACTGAAGATAGACACAAGTTCGTCCTCATACCATACACAAATATCAAGAACAAACGAGTGAGATGCACACCGCCCTGTGGTCTGATAATGTTCCATAGAAATATATTCACTCATATAAACTAGAAAGATTTGCTGCCTCCGCGAATCTCTCTTGTAACCGCCGCCGAGGGGCATAGTATTATTGGGGGTTCAACTGAGGAGAGGACTTTCTCTTGAAGGAGAACCACAAGTGAGACGACCTTGTGAAATCGTTGG